CCCATCTGTGATAGGCGATAAAAGCCGGGGGCAATGGGCTATAAAACCCCTTTTTTTGATTCTAAAAAAGAGAAGAAGAAAACCTTATGATGGGGAAAGTTTTTTTTTTTTGGGCCCCCTGCCTTTGGGGGGAATCGGCCTTTGATAAAATTTTTAAAAATTTTATAATAATATAAATTATTATATAATATATATATATAAATTTTAAAATAATTTTAAAAAATATATTTAAAAATAATTAATATATTTAAAATTTTAATTTAAATTTAAAAAACACCGGGTAAAGGGGATCAACCCCAACCTAACAAGGACCCTTTTTTACCCCCCCTGACCCAAACCTTCGGGAGCGCTACACTTTTTTCCAGGGCCCCGCTTTCGGGGGAAAATTAAAGCAATTCCCCCCCAAAACATCAAATTAAAAGATTTAAAAATGAAAATTTAAATAAATATAAAAAATATTATTATATTTTAAAAAATATTATAATTTTTTAAAATAAAATAATTAAAAATAATATAAATTTTTAAATATATAAAAAAAATATATATAAATAATAAAATTTTTTAATTTAATATATATAATATATATATTATAAATAAATTTTTAAAAATTTTAATATATATAATAAAAGTTTCAAAACTTTAAAAAAATTTGAAACCAAAGGCCCCGGCACCAGTTCCCCTTTAAACCCTTTCCCAAAGGTTTTTGCAATTTTCCCGGGGGGCCCCCCAAAATAAATATTAATTAAATTTTATTTCCTTTTTTATTTTTATAATTTTTTGAATTTTTTTCGGGGGTTTTTCGTTTTTAAAAAATAAAAAATTCAATTATTTTTTGGGGGGAAAAATTTGTTAAAATTAGTTTTTCCCCAACAATTTAAACTTTCCCCTGAGGAGAGGGGCCCCCTCACAAGGGGACCTCCCTAATTTTTTAAAAATTTTTTAATAAAAATAAAAAAATATTTTTTTATTATAAAAATAAATTTTAAATTTAATTTTTAAAAAATTTTTTTTTTTAATTTTGCACCCCCCCTTTTTAAAAAATAAAAAACCCGTTTCGTCATCCTTATTTCCGAAACCTTAAAACTTTTCCCTTTTGATTTTTTTCAATTCGAAACCCCTTTTTCTTACTTTTCAAATAAATTTAAAATTAAAAATTTAAATTTATTAAATTAATTTTTTAATTTACCTGGCCAAACCCAAAGGCGGGGGGAAAAAAAAACCCCTTTTCCCCTTTCCCCCAAAAGTTTGCCAATTTGTTTACCCTACTTTTTAAATTAAAATTTTCACCCCCCCCTTTTAAGGCAGCACGTACTTCCATTCCGATCATCCCCCCCCTTTCCCTAATCCCTTCATAAATTTTTTTTCCCCAACCCAAAACCCTCGTATTAAAAATTTATTTTTTTCACCCTACAAACACCCCCCGCTCCCTGGGAACCAAGCCCTGCCCCAAACCCTTACCCCTCCCCCAATTTTTTTTTTCTTTCCCCCCCCCCTCCCTTCCAAACCCTTTCCTCTAACATTTTTTTTCCCCCCCTTTACTCCAAACCCCCCCAAACCCTTTAACCCCCGGAAAATTTTCTCCCCCCTTTCCCAAATTCCCTAAATTTTCTGCTTATAACACCCACCTTCCCTCAACATGATTTCCCATCCCCACCCCCTTTCCCCGCCAAATTCATAATCTTTAAACCTTAAGCTTTTAAAATTACTATTTTCCCCCCTTTTCCCCAAACATTTCTTTGCTCCCCCCTTGCAACCCTCACTCCCTTTTTTTTCAAAAATTATTTTACCCTCTTTTCATAACCCCCCACAGCCACTCCCAAAAATTTGAATCTTCCCCCCCCCCTTTCCCTTCCCCCTCTGTTCCCCTCTTTCTCCCAACTTTTTTTATTCCCCAAAACCCTTAAACCCTTTCCCCCCTTTTAAAATTTTTTTTTTTTAAAACCCACAAAACCCCCCCCTCCCCTTTTTCTTAAATCCCAAGAACTTCCCCCACAAACCTTCCCCCCCCCCCCCGGGGTATTCTTTTTCTTTTAAATCCCCGCCCCTTCCAAACCCCCCATTAAATTTTTTTAACCCCATTTAAAAAAAATTTCCCCAAACCCAACTCCGTTTTTCTTTCCCCCCCCTTTTTTAAATAATTCCCTTTTTTTAAAACTTTAATTACCTCAAAATCCCAAAAATTTTTGTTTTTATAAACCACCCCATTACCCCTTTCCCTTTTCCCCAATTCCCCCCCCCCTTTTTCCCCCTTTTCCTCATAAAAACCACAAAAAAATCTTTAGCCTAAATTTTTCTTTACTAAATTTTTCATTCACCTTCCCCCCCCCACCCTTTCCCAAACCCCTTTTTTCTGCACCTACCACATTTTAACTTTTAAAAAATCTACCCTCCCTTTCCATTTCCAAAAACTTTTCCCCTTTTTTTGCCTCCCCTTTTGTCCCCCTTTCTTTTTCGATTCCTTTCCCCTTTTAACCCCCTTTTTTTTTCCCCCTTTCCCTAATTTTTTTTAAAAAAATTGCCCAACCCTTCCAAAAAATTTCCCCACCTCTTTTAAAATTTCCTTTTTTTTCCCCCCACGCATTTCCCCCCCTTTTTTTTAAACCCCCCCCAAAAACCTAAAACTCCTTCCCCATAAAAAATTTTTTTCCCCTTTCCCCCTCATGAACAAAGCCCCATTTTTTAAATTTACAACCTCAAAATTTCCCTCCATCTTCCCAAAACCCAAACTCCATTTTAATTTCCAAATTTTTAACTCCCAAAAACCTTTTTTCTCCTTTTCCCTTCTTTTTAATTTTATAAAACTTTTTCTTATTTTAACCAAAAATTTTTAAAATTAACTTCCATTTTTCCCTTTTTTTCAATTTCCCTTCCCCTACCCCTTCCTTCTTTACCCTTCCCTTTTCCCCCCTTTATCCCTTTATTTTAAAAAATTCCTTCCCCAAAAATTTTTCCCCTTTTCCCCTTTTACTCTTTCCCCAATGCCCCCTTTCCCTTTTTTTCCCCACCCACTTTCAACACCATTTTTCCCTTTTTTTAAACTACCCTAATTTCACCCATTGCCGCCTTTTAGCCCCATACCCCAAAACTTTTTTTTCTTTCTTCCTCCCTTTTTAAAATTTTTTTTAAAAAAAATTTTTTAAACCTTGTTTTAAAATTTTTTTTATAATTTTTAAATAAAAAATTTACCCAAAACTCTCTCAATACTCTAGATTTAACCCCATTTTTTTTCCCCCCCCGAAATTCCCTACCCCCTTTAGCTTTTTTTCGTTTAGGCCAGGACATCCACTTTTTTTCATTCAAACATCACAATCATCTTTTCTTGTCATCCGCACTACATCCAGCAAAATTCAAGCATCCCAGTTTTATTAATTTTTTCTTCTTCTTTTTTAGTAAATGTCTACAGGGAAAAGGGGTTACTACCCCATTGCCCCCCTTTTTTAGTCGCCTAAAACGACCGCAGGCTTACGGAAAAGATTCTTTTCCACTTCCCCATGGACAATAGAAGAAATAAAGAAGAACAAGAGCTATTTAGAAAAAGGAAAAAAAACCTAGAAGTAATATATATATATATATATATATAATATAAATTATATATAATATATATATAAAATATAATATATATATATATAATTGTATCTGTGTACAGTTATATTTATATAATATTAAATCGGAACCATTAAAAACCTTGGGGAACTCTCAGCGAGTCATTCAAGACTTCCCTTCAGATTCTTGTACACTGGGGTCCCCCCGGGGGGCGTTTTCGTCTCCCACCTGGGGGGTGACACGGTGGGTGCTGCATGGTGAAGGGGGGGGGCCTGGCGAAACTCATAAAGGAGATTGCCGTACAGTCACGTCTGATGCTGGGGGGGCGATGCCTTACCTTTTCACGGTGGAGGTACCACCTCGGGGGCCCGCTCATCTGAAAACACAAATATCTCGGATCGTTTGGGGTTTGGGTTGCTATCCCGTGGGTAGAACAATTATAAAAAAAAGTCTACCAGTACCGTGTCTGGAACAAAGTACAACAAACTCATAAAAACCGTGGCTGGAACAATTTTCATGACAAACAAACCAATACCGTGTCTGCAACAATTCACAACAACCCACAAACACCGTGTCTGGAACAGTTCACACCAAATCCACCAATATCCTATCTGCAACAATTCATAGCATTCACCAATACCGTATCTAGAACAATTCATAACAAACCCATCAATTAGAAACGGATATTGGCTAATGTTTTTCCTCGCTCTGAATCTTTATCTTGATGTAACACCTTTCATGAGGCTGTAAATACTCGTTGACTCTCTCGGTAATTAACAGCAAACCAGAAAAGAGCCACAGCAGACACACTCGTGGAAAGTCAGACCGCGCAGGCCGTTCACTACAAGGAGTGCTGGAGGCTCGGTCCCCCGCTCGTTAGTCGCCTCTCCGGTCTCTGACCAGTTCAGGCGAGCTCGATCAGTAAGTTCATTGTTAGACGTCGTGGCACGGGCGCCAGGATGTTACTGGCTCGTGCAAGATGTCAGCGCAGTATTATTTGTTATTGAAGTGTTAGGGAATTCAGGTATCTTCCACTGTGGTTTAACTACCATTCTAGTGGCAGTATCCATCACAGAAGCAGCTACCACTGAAGTACTCATCACTGAAATATCTACGACTGAAGTACCTACTGCCATGTTAATTAAGCTACCTACCACTGAGGTACCTACTGCCATGATTAACTACTCACCACTGAGGTACCTACTGTCATGTTAAGCTACCCACCACTGAGGTACGTACTGCCATGTTAAGCTACCTCCCACTGAAATGCCTTCACTGACATCCATCAAACAAATGCATAACTGGTGCGGGATAGAAGTGACAACTTCAGTCAGACAGGCAGTGTAGACAAGCCATCATACCTGTTTCGAAAACTGCCCTTGAAAGAGAGAGAGAGAGAGAGAGGGAGGGGAGGGGAAAGCCAAGCAGAAACTTCACAGGAGACATTGGGTTCTAACCTCCGGAGGAAGATAGCTCAGTAGACCCTGAGCTAGACAGCCTGTGTGCTCTCCTGCAGGTCCAGACTCTGCCATGCTGTGGTCCAAGAGACTTAGCTTGATCTTAGCCTCCAGGAACACGTTGCGGGAGTTGAGGCGGCCGTGGATGATCCCCCGAGAGTGCAGGTACGACATCGCTTGCGCCACCTGTTGGTTAAAATATAATGAAGGCAGAATTAGCGCCTAGGGGCCTAGTGTCCAGATTTTTTTTAATATATCACTGCGCTCGCGTGTTACTGTCCGCAGGATGGATACGGAACGCACAATAAACTAGACACCACCGTCCATAGCCTGTCTATGGGTACACAGTAAACTAGCTACTTGCATCCATAGGATAGATAAAGGGTGCACAATAACCTATCCACTTCGGCAATAAAGTGTAAGTTTAAATCTAATAGTATACAGAATCCACTCGCTCGAAAAAAAAGGACTTTTTTGGGTTATCTTAAGTATTTTACACATGTCACTATGTATGATAATTGTACCTATGTGTACCTGTGCCTAAACAAACTTACTGTCAATACCAAATTCCTTCTCTTATTTTATCTCTCTATTAAATGTCGGTGGTCTAAAATATCAGTGCATATATATTTTAACGCAGCAGCCGCATCCCACCTAAGCAGGGCTGCCCGAAAAAAAAAAAAGAAAATTTATAAAGCATTTGAAATAATGCTTTATAAAGCATTACTTCAGGGCTTTGCAAAGGTTATTATTACTCTCAACCTGAAAGGAAAGGCTTTGGGAAAAGTTTTAAAATGGATAGGGAACTAGGGGTCATTAGTTCATTCAGTGATGTAGGTAATAAAGAGTTCAATTGACTCCCGTGCACTCCTGCCGTGCTCTCTTACTCGGTATTTTGTGAAGTAATGGGAGTAGTGGAGACTCGGTCCTCTGGTCATTAATTATAGCTACTCAGGATGTGAGTATCACTCCTCATACTGCATTATGTTCATACCATACTATGTTCGTACCGTACTATGTTCATACCATAAGACCCCAACACCACAGCCGGCTCCATACACTCACATCTCCCTTCTCGGAGCTCACAGGTTTGAATCTAAAGCGTTGCTAAAAAATTTTTCCTCCCCAAAGTAAAAATCTTCCACACAAGCCTTCAGTAACACAAATATATTTAAATAGGCTTTTAAGTACACTCCACGTCTGTTAAATAGTGCTTAATATTGAATTACATAAATAAAATTCCCCTACGACCCTGCAGATGGAAGACAACGTCTCAGCAGAACGTCCTCACATGCTGGTGGCCGTGAGTAAGGCGGATGGGTCCAGTTATCAACCTACAGAGAATCCTCTCAATGACGGTTCTTGTGGAAAGATTAGATATATATGAAGCAGTAAACCTAGTTGCGTTATTCAGTGCAAGGAATAATGGAGGCTTGGAGGCTGGGTCCTCCCGTTTTAAGAAATCCGGCAGATTAGGGTACCCAGGTCGTACAACTTAGTCACATAAGTTTGGGTAAATCTCACCTGGCGAGCAATGTTGACCCGGGATGGGTATGGTATGGATCCCCTGGAGGTGGTGTGTTGGTGCAGGGACATGCCTCGCCGCACGCCCGTCACGATGGCCAGGTTGGGCGGCAACATGCACGCGCCCATGAACAAGACAATGTTCTCGTGACGGATCATCGACAGACTGGACACCAGCTCCCAGAACCGGCGCTCCGTGGTGGCGTCGGAGCCATCAAACGTATGTATCATGACGTCTCCGTGCCAACGACCCCTGTGCGAAATATGGGTAAGTCATGAGTTAGTCATGGGTATGACATCGGCAAATTAGCCAGTGTTGTAATATACAAGCGTGTACTCGTAACCAACCCATAAATTGGAAATGGGGAAACTGTACGTTTCGTTAGACCCAGAAATAGTTTTGAATCACTCAGAACTTGGCAATGGGCAAAGATGACTGAAATGTCCTCCAGTTTTCTTTATTTCAGATTTGTGGATTAGTTGTGAAGTGTTCCAGCTATGGTATTGTGACACTTATTGTTCAGGACATATCTGTTTGACTCTGAGGTGAGTAAATAAACGTAGGTGTACAGTCCTAGGAGAGTGTCATAATGCATACCTGTATGCAAGACAAGCCACACGGGGCATGAAAATCCTCAGTTCAAGATTTTTTATACTGTTCTGAGCGTCATCAGGAGCTATGCAATGTTGCAAGAGCAGCAACAGGTAAATTTATGGAAAGTTTTCTCATAGGAAAAGTAGAGTGTTGATACTGGCCAGAGTCAACACTCTACATTTCCTCTGAGAAAACTTCCCCTCAGTCTACCTGTTGTTGCTCTTACAACATTGCATAGCTCCTGATGAAACACGGAGACGTGTGAAAGATCTTGAACTTAAGATTTCCATCCTCCCGTGTGGCTTGTCTTGCATTGTTATGATCACCTCTCTGCGATTGTACTAAACATACCTGTATATGTTGGTGGTGGAGCCGCGCCGAAGAACATGGCCGAACCTCAGTTGGTCCCAAGAGATGGCCCACTCAGCAAGAGGGTCGTGTGTGGTGGCTGTCTGAGTCGTGGACCCACCGGAGTCACGTCTCTCTTCAGGCACTAGAGGTGGGACTCGAACTTCCACAGGCTCCTCCTCCTCGAATCCACTCTCCTCCCCCGTGCTCTCTTCTCGGCTCGAAGATCCCGGTCGGGACATTCTTCGGGCGCTCGTCACCAGCGGAGTGTTCGGCCGACCGCTGCAGTTCGGTTCTTGAGGCGTGGTTAGTGTCTGTGGCGGCGCTGGAGGGAATCCTTCATCCTGACTGATGGTTTTCCCTCTTGACAGTCGTCTTCGTCGCTCCGCGGCTTGAACCGAGAACCGGCCATCGAGGGTACGTCTAAGATGGTCTGCTGGGAGCGACATGCGAGGTCTGGTAGAGGGCGCACGCTGGGGAGAGAGTTCTAGAGAGCGCCGCATAAACCCGGGTGGGTTGACGAGGCGGTGATGAGCAGTAGGGGTGTGCTGTGCGGATATATTAGGAGAGGAATACCCGCTCTCCTGCTGCGCCAACAACGTCCTGCCCTCCTCCCAGGACCCGCCTCGTGCAGCGCGACGCAACATGTCGGCGAATCTTTTCCGGGCCGTTTTGGTGTCGTGGGGAGGCGCTTCCGGCCGCAGGCCATAGTGCACCTTGGCATGGTGCTCAGCAGACCTGGGGGTGCGGCCTGGCCGCCGCTTGCGACCCAGCCACTGCACCAGACGCAGGTAGAAGCGCTGGTAGGTCCTGAGGGCCGCAGTGCGCTCATCTCCTGAGCCCAGCAGTTCGGCCACGCTAGGATCCAGCTCTTCGTCAAGTCCACCCACCTCCCTGATCTCCGTGGCGCCAAGGGGTTTGAGCGGCAGTCCCATGAGACCTGAGAGGGTGAGTCCTGGGTGGGTAGGCGGCACCTGGAGAGTGGTGGGTGGCGAGGAGAGGTGGGCCGGGGCCTCGCTGTCAGCTGAGGCCACGGGGTGGGCGGGGGTGGGCGCTGTTGTGAGGGGGGAGGGAGGGGGGCTGCATGACCCCACGCTGCCGTTGTCCTGGTCTCGTGGACACCTGTGCAACATCAGAATTAATTAACACCTGAATCAACACACTCACACTAAACTTATCACCAGAAACACAACCTCCAGGTAACTCAATACGTCTACCTGACCTGGAACACAACAACCAGGTAACTTACTATGTCTACCTGACCTGAAACACAACTCCCAGGTAACTCACTACGTCTACCTGACTTAAAACACAACCCCCATGTAATTTACAATGTCTACCTGACCTGAAACACAACCGCCAGGTAACTTACTATGTCTACCTTACCTGGAACACAACCCCAGGTAACTTACTATGTCTACCTGACCTGAAATACAACCCCAAGGTAAATTACTATATCTACCTGACCTGAAACACAACCCCCAGGAAACTTAGGACTAAGAAAAAAAACAATGACTTGAAGGGATAGCCTCAAAACCTTACTGATATCTCATCTGCTGAAAAGGACCCCAACAGAGTGATCAGTTAAACTAAAAGGAAAAAAAACCAGTCATTCTCAGTTTCCCGGTGTCGATTCTTTTCCCTTTTGTATCACCAACACGGGGATGGGAGTCTGAATCCTTCCTGAGTGTAAGGAGACAGAGTTCGATTGCTCGTGTTTGTGATGCTGGTGCGATCCTTTATTGACAACGTATCGCCCCAGACTCTGGGCCTTTATCGAGTCTCCAACACATCTATCTGAATTGATATGAGACAGTTGGCCTCATATCAGTTTAGGATCGCATTATATTGCATATGTTTAAACTTAATGTTTTTGTCACCTACTGTCAGTATACCTTACACAGTACTGTCAGTATACCTTACACAGTACTGTCAGTATACCTTACACAGTACTGTCAGTATACCTTACACAGTACTGTCAGTATAACTTACACAGTACTGTCAGTATACCTTACACAGTACTGTCAGTATAACTTACACAGTACTGTCAGTATACCTTACACAGTGCTGTCAGTATACCTTACACAGTGCTGTCAGTATACCTTACACAGTGCTGTCAGTATACCTTACACAGTACTGTCAGTATACCTTACACAGTACTGTCAGTATAACTTACACAGTTACTGTCAGTATACCTTACACAGTACTGTCAGTATACCTTACACAGTACTGTCAGTATAACTTACAACAGTACTGTCAGTATACCTTACACAGTACTGTCAGTATACCTTACACAGTACTGTCAGTATAACTTACACAGTACTGTCAGTATACCTTACACAGTACTGTCAGTATAACTTACACAGTACTGTCAGTATACCTTACACAGTACTGTCAGTATACCTTACACAGTACTGTCAGTATAACTTACACAGTACTGTCAGTATACCTTACACAGTACTGTCAGTATACCTTACACAGTACTGTCAGTATAACTTACACAGTACTGTCAGTATACCTTACACAGTACTGTCAGTATAACTTACACAGTACTGTCAGTATACCTTACACAGTACTGTCAGTATAACTTACACAGTACTGTCAGTATACCTTACACAGTACTGTCAGTATACCTTACACAGTACTGTCAGTATACCTTACACAGTACTGTCAGTATACCTTACACAGTACTGTCAGTATACCTTACACAGTGCTGTCAGTATAACTTACATAGTGCTGTCAGTATACCTTACGCAGTACTGTCAGTATACCTTACACAGTACTGTCAGTATACCTTACACAGTGCTGTCAGTATACCTTACACAGTACTGTCAGTATACCTGATACAGCACTGGCAATATACCTTACACAGTACTGCCAGTATACCTTACACAGTACTGCCACTATACCTTACACAGTACTGTCTGTATACCTGATACAGCACTGGCAATATACCTTACACAGTACTGCCAGTATACCTTACACAGTACTGCCAGTATACCTTACACAGTATAGTCAGTATACCTGATACAGTACTGGCAATATACATTAAACAGTACTGCCAGTATACCTTACACAGTACTGCCAGTATATCTTACACACTACTGCCAGTATGCCTTACACAGTACTGCCAGTATACCTTTCACAGCACTGCCAGTATGTCTTACACAGTACTGCCAGTATACCTTATACGGTACTGCCAGTATACCTTACACGTACTGCCAGTATACCTTACACAGTAGTGCCAATATATCTTACACAGTACTGCCAGTATACCTTACACAGTACTACCAGCATACCTTACACAGTACTGTCAGTATACCTGATACAGTACTGGCAATATACCTTACACAGTACTGCCAATATACCTCACACAATACTGGCAGCTTATTATACACAGAACTAGCAGTATACCTTACACAGAACTGGCAGTATATCATACACAGAGCTGACAGTATACCATACACAGAACTGGCAGTATATCATACACAGAGCTGACAGTATACCATACACAGAACTAACAGTATACCATACACAGAACTTAACTTTAACATGAGTTGAGGGTAAGATAACAGCGCTTAGATTGGATACGAGTAGAGAGTAGGAACCCTTACCCTGTAAACTGAAGTGTTGACCAAAAAAAAAACAAAACTGAAGAAGCAGTATACAGATCATCACCTGACCAGAACTTTCTCCATGAGACTGACCACGGAAAGGGCGGGGATTCAACCCACGACAATTGCTTCCGAAAACTCCAGGCCATGGACTCGATCCACGCCCGTTACGTGGTTGGTTTGCAGTCGCGTGTTATTTACGATTTTGTAAGAGAGGAAGTGATAGACAGAAACACCCGCGCCACAACACCAGTGATCATCGTGTGGCCCTTGAGATCGATATTGCTGCACCTGCCTTGTCTTCTGAAAGGCCGGGATTCGATCTCCAATAGCCCTGAGGTGGAATTTACGTATATATTATGCAAATCGTCCTCTTGAACTGTTGGAACCTAGAACACATGAAAGCTGGTGTTGGGTTCCGTAGGCTTTACATAGCTGAGGCGAGGCGGGGGTCGTAAGTCAGCCTATTAGGTCTACTCAGAGGGTAGAAACGTGAGAGAGTATATGATCAGAGACACAACAGTGGAAATTAATGAACTTTCTGAGATGCTGGGAGTCTAATCTCTCTCTCTCTCTCTCTCTCTCTCTCTCTCTCTTCTCTCTATCCGTCTCTGTCTCTGTCTGTCTGTCTGTCTGTCGTCTGTCTCTCTCTCTCTCTCTCTCTCTCTCTCTCTCTCTCTCTCTCTCTCTGTCTCTCTCTGTCTGTCTGTCTGTCTGTCTCTCTCTCTCTCTCTCTCTCTCTCTCTCTCTCTCTCCTCTCTCCTCTCTCTCTCTCTCTCTCTCTCTCTCTCTCTCTCTCTCTCTCTCTGTCTCTCCTCTGTCGTCTGTCTCTGTCTCTCTCTCTCTCTCTCTCTCTCTCTCTCTCTTCTCTCTCTCTTCTCTCTCTCTCACTCTCTCTCTCTCTCTCTCTCTCTCTCTCTTCTCTCGACATTACGCCCCATCACTCACATATGGTACTCCCCACGCCTGGTATCCCCATGCCTTGTACTTCCCCACGCCTGATACTCCCCCACGCCTGGAACTCCACACGTCTGGTACTGCCCACGTCTGGTACTTCCCCACACCTGGTACTACCCCACGCCTGGTATTCCCCACGTCTGGTACTCCCCACGCCTGGTACTTCCCCACACCTAGTACTAACCCACGCCTGGTATTCCCCACGTCTGTTACTCCCCCACGCCTGGTACTCCCCCACGCCTGGTACTCACCCACGTCTGGTACTTCCCCACACCTGGCACTAACCCACGCCTGGTACTCCCCACGTCTGGTACTTCCCCACGCCTGGTACTTCCCCAAGCCTGGTACTCCCCCACGCCTGGTACTCCCCACGTCTGATACTCCCTCACGCCTGGTACTCCCCCACACATGGTACTCACCCACGTCTGGTACTTCCCCACACCTGGTACTACCCCACGTCTGGTACTTCCCCACGCCTGGTACTCCCCCACTTCTGGTACTCCCCCACGTCTGGAACTTCCCCACGTCTGGTACTCCCCCACGCCTGGTACTTCCCCACTCCTAGTACTCCCCCACGAATGGTATTCCCCACGCTTGGTATTCCCAACGCCTGGTACTCACCCACGCCTGTACTCCCCACGCCTGGTACTCACCCACGTTTGGTACTTCCCCACACCTGGTACTCCCCCCACGCCTGGTACTCCCCACGTCTGGTACTTCCCCAAGCCTGGTACTCCCTACGCATTGTACTTCCCACGTCTGGTACTTCCTCACACCTGGTACTCCCTACGCCTTGTAATTCCAACGCCTGGTACTTCCCCACGCCTGGTACTCCTCACGCCTGGTACTCTCCCGCACCTGGTACTCCCCACGCCTGGTACTCACCCACCCCTGGTACTCCCCACGTCTGGTACTCCCACATGCTTGGTACTCCCCAAGCCTGGTACTCCCCACGCCTGGTATTCCTCACGCCTGGTACTCCCCACGCCTGGTACTCCCCACGCCTAGTACTCTCCCACGCCTGGTACTCCCCCACGCTTGGTACTCCCCCACGCCTGGTACTCCCCAAGCCTGGTACTTCCCACGTCTGGTACTTCCCACGCATTGTGCTCCCCACGCCTAGTACTCCCCCACGCCTGGTACTCCCCACGCCTGGTACTCCCACACGCCTGGTACTCCCCACGCCTGGTACTCCCCCACGCCTGGTACTCCCCCACGCCTGGTACTCCCCAAGCCTGGTACTTCCCACGTCTGGTACTTCCCATGCATTGTGCTCCCCACGCCTAGTACTCTCCCACGCCTGGTACTCCCCCACGCTTGGTACTCCCCACGCATGGAACTCCCCACGCCTGATATTCCTCACGCCTAGTACTCCCACACGCCTGGTACTCCCCAACGCCTGGTACTTCCCCGCACCTGGTACTCACCCACGCCTGGTACTCCCCCACGTCTGGTACTCGCCGATGCCTGGTACTCCCCACGCCTGGTACTCCCCACGCCTGGTACTCCCCACGCCTGGCACTCCCCACGCCTGGTACTCCCCCACGCCTGTTACTCCCAACGCCTGGTACTCCCCCACGCCTGGTACTCCCAACGCCTGGTACTCCCCACGCCTGGTACTTCCCACGCCTGATATTCCTCACGCCTAGTACTCCCACACGCCTGGTACTCCCACACTTGGTACTCCCCATGCCTGGTACTCTCCAACGCCTGGTAATCCCCACGTCTGGTACGCCCCCACGCCTGGTACTCCCCACACCTGGTACTCCCTATGCCTGGTACTTCCCCACACCTGGTACTCCAGAGGCCTTGTACTTCCCACGCCTAGTACTTCCCCATGCCTGGTACTCCCCACGTCTGGTACTCCCCCATGCCTGGTACTCCCCACACCTGGTACTCCCCATGCCTGGTACTCCCCATGCCTGGTACTCCCCGCACCTGGTACTCCCCACGCCTTGTACTTCCCACGCCTGGTACTCCCCCACGCCTGGTACTCCCCACGCCTGGTACTCCCCACGCCTGGTACTCCCCTCCCCTTAGCATCGTTGCCTAGTAACGAAGAGTGAGGGTGAGGTCACCC